CACCTGAAATCAACATCAGGAGCCTGCATTTGGAGACTCGGTCTTTCCCTAGAGATATGGTAAGCCTGTGAGGTTTCTCATCCAAATTACTGGACTATCTTTACAGAACGCAGCCTTGGCAAGCGCGGAGGGGTGATAGTACACCGATGACGTACTGATTTCAAGCCCTCGCCTGAGCTTGGTATTTGACCCACTAGGTTTCTTCGCCCAACACTGCGCTTGGACTGCGGTCGCTGTTTTCTGGTATCCGACTCAACTCCGGTGCATCTGGGTCTACCTGGCATTTGAGGGGCTACTGCCTGTCGACTTCCACGGTGTCGTCCGAGTTATTCCTGCATCCGACTCTGCTAATAGCTTAACAAATTCCATTGAATATTTGTTCTGTCATGTGCGAGGAATACAGACGATGGTGGGGACTCATTTGTGGCATTCTCACAGATAACACTACAGCTTTCACCTTTCAAGCCAGGTCATGTTTTTATAGCTAATTTTGGGGGAGGGGCAAGTTTTTATCCTACTCAAATTGTGTTGAGGCTAACGATTTTGTGCGTTCCCTATCCGGTTTAGGATAGGCAGATTTTGGAGTCACTTAATCTACATAGTGTTGGTGCGGTGACCCAAAAGAGGCAAAACTCAACTTCTTAAGAACAAAGGTTGACCAGATTCGAAGCCGACTAAGAGAGGGTCGAGAATCGAGAACGGCCAAGTTCAAGAACCTGTTGAAAGAAGAGCCTAAGGACCAAATCTGGCCATCTTTTCTGAAACTCCAAGCTCCCTACAGTAATCGGTGCTAATTCACTGAAACACATAGAACATGTCCCGCGATCCTTTACGCGGGCTCGGAAGAAGTTTGTGGAATGGCCGTCTTAGCAAGACACGAAGCAATTATGGTCAATGGGACAAGCTTAGCCGCGGAGTGTTACTACTACGAAGACGATTTTTTGGCTTTGTGAATCCGAATCTTATAATATTCAATGAAAAGAAAGCTTATGAAAAATTAAAAATGGCTTCTTCTTCAGTATGGGAGTACATAAATATTGGAAAGGATGCTAAGATAAACTAGTAGCAAAGAGAAGAGAAACCTCTGTTCTCAAAAGAAGAAAATTTGTCAGCATCTCAAAACGATGTACCTCCCCTTCAAAAAGCGAGAAAGTGTCGGGTGCAGACCATGCACCACAAGTGACGACGGCCTTCACAAAATGTTAATGTTTTCTGCCAATGAAATGATTAGCCTGTTGCAGTTGTATTCTATCATTGTCACTAATTACAACTATCATTTACCAGAAATCAGCTATCACTATGAACAACTTCTAACCAGATTTACTTGGAGGCCGTCGTCAGTTGTGGTGTTTGGTCTGCACCCGACACTTTCTCGCTTTTTGAAGGGGAGGTTAGTGGTTTCCGTTCATTGAAAATGACAGGACCGACCAGTGTTGACGTACCCTGGTGGAGACCGATAAGTCTTTGATTCTGTCGAGATATTTATTGCTATACTTCGCTTTCAAGAAGTTTCACAGTGAGAGCACGCGCTATATTATTTACTCATTTATCTTTTTTTAGTTCAGGCTCATTAGACGGTAGGCGGGAGGTTATATTGTAATAGCCGCTGGTAATAGAACACTTTTAACAGCCAGAACATCCATTCGGCTCACTTTATATCATATCATACCAAAGCAATGCAATGGTTATTGATCGGTCGCAAGATGGAACTTGTAGTTTGTCCTGGAAATCTAAGAAACCATCTCCCTGGTTTCTCAGTTCAAAACGGATACAGCTATAATGTGCCACAGCCCAATAGTGTCTGTTCAGTTGTGGAGCTATGCTAAAATGACTTTTTTCAATCTTGAACGCTGACGTCAGCCCGGAGCAGTGGGACGATTGCAACTCGTTAACTGGGCTGTCCCTTGAGCCGAATTGCGAATTTTCCGCTAATGAACCGTCGCGCTATTTACTTTGAGTAGCAGTATTTTGTTTATACTGTTTCGGATTACACATTTAAGGGAAGCAGTCTGCAGTCCAAAGTTTGAACTCACATGTTTAAAGAGCAGATAAGTTGCCATTAGAGTCGCGTCACATATGGCAATACATATCAGGAATAAGTTGAACGGAGACCGTCGCATTGCCGGTCTGAAAATACCGTATCAACTCAATTTTTCTAGTTTATCTACGAAGACGATTTTAGGCCCTCGCTGAATCTGATCTGACAATTACAATATTCGATGAAAAGAAAACCTGAAGAACTGGGGATGGCTTCCTGTCAAGGATTGTGAGCAGATAACCCAGGCGCAATCATTGCAAATGAATATCAAAGGTGACCAGTGGCCGAAAAGGAAAACTTCTGAGGTGAAAAGCAAAAGAAGGATCGCGGTATTGTTCTTATTATGATTTTATTCTTTCTGCCAAACGAGCTTGTTAGGATGAGAGAATTTTATTAGTTATTTCGACGAGATTCGTTCCTCAAATGTCAGTCCACCCCAAGAGAGTAACACTACCATCTGGTCAAGTTAGGTTATTTATTAACTCAAAGAGAGTATCATAATAAGAAAATACGAGGTCTAAAAAGAGGAAGTTGCTGATAGAGAAGGATGCGTGTTACTGCGGACAGTGCTGGGCGACGAACAGAACACTAGGCGTTGAGGAGACAGAATTGATTGAAGGGCATGGATAACCAGCGACCAGACATCATTCAAAAAAAAAAAAAAAAAAACAAAAAAGAAACGACTGTTTTGCGGCAAATCGAAAACAAGGGGGCTGTTCGGAGACTGAGTACAGAGGGTCAAATCCATGTTAAATAAAGATTTTATGGCACTAAGCCCTGTCCTCCCGCGCCTAAGGCTTAGTTGACTACAATAACGAAAGGAGATGTTCTATCGCGTTTTTAAGCGCATTGCATCATAGATGCCCGGATCTTGCGATAGGCCCTTCTACATAGCCAGGTACACCTCACACGTCCGATGAAGTGAAAGGATAAGATGGACGAAATAACTTAACTTAACTTAACTTATGACCCGGTTTTCCGATCAATATTATCTAGATCACAATGGGAAAGAAGAATCGAAAGGTGTTTATCAGCTAATTGATAGCCCCAATGCGGGCGCTAAATCAAGACTCTGGGCGATTCACACAAAGATCTGTTCTTTGGCGTAGTCTCTATGAAGCATATACGCTATAGCTTCCAAGGGCCACTACCGACCTACATATGTTTCTGTAAATAGCTATCTCAAGTAGTTTAGAGGTGGAGTAGAGGGATTCCTCGATCATGGCTCTGTACTGTGAGCGTTGAATTACGCGCGAGGGCACGGAGCGGCGCTGTGGTGGCTATAGTTAGGTTTGGCGCGGGAGAGCGTAACTGGATAGACGAGTTTGTCGAAGAGTTCTCGACCGATTTTTCACCCTGGTTTAGAGAAGATGAAAAAGAAAAATGAAAAGCTAAGTTTAAGCAACAAAGACCGAACCTAAAAATTAAATTGGATTTTATTGGGGCCTGAACCGCACGGGATGAGTTCCTGCCCTTCTTCACAAGAACGCTGACGTCCGCCTCAGACGAGATTCGAACTCACGTTTCTTGCTTATCGCACTACATATTGTGCTGCCATTTGCACTATCGGGCACCACTTCACCTTAGATCAACAACAAAACAAGCCAGAATTACAATGCTCCCACTTCATTTCAAAGAATTCGATTCTTGGCGTCTTACGCTTTGTCTAAACAATCTCATAATTACTGTAGAGTACTTACCGTAACAAAACGACCACAATGGCGATGTTGGCGAATACACCGACCACGCATAGAAAAACGTATAGGTATGAGTGGATTTGCGAGAACACATTGGTGAATGGAGCGAGAATCTGGAACAAGGTTTTTTCAAAAGCTGCACTTCAATCCCTAATAGTAGAATGTCTTTTCGAAAAAGTATTAATACTCCACTTCGAGTTCATCCTTCATAACTAAAACATGGCAATAAATATTCATGGGCTGAGCGCACATTTAAATAGTACTAACTTGAAAGTGCGCTTTTAATGAGACATTCTCATCAGAGGTGCACTTCACGAGAAAGCCGCATTTGCACTTCAAAAGAGGATTCCAAGATAAGGACGAAGGTCGAAGAAGGGGAAACTTACCTGGTGGAGATACAAGGAGATCTCCTAAGGTGCAAACGACACGCAATTCGCACGAAGGATGACCCTCGGCGATCTAGCATAGCCTTCCCCGTGGCGCAATTGACGCACTAATTGTGCGATACACCGACCCCCCCCCTTCCGCGCAGGGTCGGCCCTATCGTTGGGACTTTTTGCAGAATTCACGGATTCCATGCGATTTTTCCCTCGATTTTACCTATCGTTCC